GTGTGCAAGCTAGGCTGGCATTCCTCTTGTTCTGCCAAGGTGCTAAAGCAAGAGTAGACGGAGGAAGGAAAAATTATAGCTCCAGCTCATCTTTCTTTCTCACTGCCCCAAACAGTTCATCTAAAGGAAAGCACTAATGTTTTCCATTTGCAGCTCAGTATGTATGGGTGGTGTCATAGTTTAGTCAGGGGAGTAGCTAAATACCTGAAAGTTCAAGTGCTGTGTAGGAACTATGTCTGCACCTCAAAAGGTATGGTAAAAATCTTGAAGGAAAAGTCAGTTTGTGAATTTTTCTGAATTTAATTGTCCTTGCATAAGAGCTGCATTTGCAATTCTTGAGTTATTTTTATACTTCCAAGGGTCATCAGAAGCTCATCTGCAGCTTTAAAACAAAAAGAAGAATGTTTTTTTCATGCAGTGCGTACAGGAATCATGGCCCTTATTATCACAGAGAAATGTGGAGACCAAAAGTGTAACTCGGGTGTGAAACTAGACAAATTCACATGAGACAGCTCCACGACCGTGGTAGAAAATGCAAACTCTGACTATGTATTTGCTAAAGTGCTGGTGCTCGGGCACGGGGATGTTTCAGGGTAGGAAGGGCTTCTCTTGCAGTTTGCTCTTACACTTTTCCATGGGCACCAAATCCCCACAAATGTCACAGACGGGAGACTGAGCTGGAGCTTTAGTACGTCCCAGCAAAACCACCCTATCCTAACAGTCCCCACATCTATCTACTTCATCCTTTTCTTCCACGCCACAGCAAAGGCATGTTTTACTGTCACAACATATTCTACCATTACTCTTGCTTTTAATAACATATGCAAAAAATATTCCTGTAGAGGGAATGGAATTCAGTCTGTCAGTATTGCTGCTGTCGTGCAGCCGTAATCGGGCAGAAAAGCAGCACTGGGCTGTGCGAGCAGCCTCTCTCTCCATCCCTCGCACACGACGGCTAAGCCTTTCTGTAAATTTTAAACTTATTTGCGGAAGATCTTGTGCAATGCATTAATAATTAATCGGGGCTTAGTTCGAAGCTCACGGGAGCTGAAGGAACCACTCCCATTGACTTAAATGAGCAGTAGATGAGACCTTCGCTAATGAATGTATTAAATATATACTCTATGATGTTAAGAAAAAAAATGCATTGCAGTCCCAAGTGCTTCACACTGTAGTCCTCTATGATTTTAAGATCTGAAACTGTCTTGTTTTCAAAATGTCTCTATAGCTCTATTAGGCACGTGGTAGAGCGCAGGTGGCATCCAAATGGCCTTTGCCGTAGGGAGCATGTTAGCTCAAGGGAGGAAGGGCATCTCCGGCAATGTGTCCACCGTTTCTACTTTCTAGGGCTGCCTCTCTCTTCACTGGTGATGAAGGGAAATTTTGCCCACCAGAACTATCGGGTACCCAGTGTAACTTCTTTCAGATGACCAAAGAGATGGTAAAAATTTTGTTTGCTTTTTTTCCCCAAAGATTCTTTGAGTGAAATCCTTTGACAGGTAGGAAAATCATGGGCTGCAAATGGGTTCAAGCCTGGAAGCTGGAGAAGAGAGATTCTGTCTCCCATAACTAATTCAATCTCATCGTTATGTGTGCTTTCTACAAAAGTTTTGGTTTTTTCTAAACCTATTGGGCTGAATTCTGTTTTTATTTACACCACTGTGAATGAAGAATAAGAGCTGTATTCAACTACGACAAGATACTTGTTTTGGAAACTGCAGTCACGTTCTTCCTGCTTCAGTTCTGGAATAATCACATTGCATAAATCCTTCCTTTTTATGAAATTTCTGCAATACATAAGCAACATGAAATGACTTAAACACTGAGATGTAGCCTCAGATCTACATTTTATTTTGTAACATATAATATAAACAGTGTAATGTAAACCGTAAGGTTTTCATATCAGTTAGTGCCACTAGATGTTACTCCTGAATAATGGAAGAGATTAGATGTTAGAGAGTCATATTCAACTTGAATTTTATGGAAACAGATGACAAAAATTCATACTACAATGAGGAGTGTTTCACCTTGAGAACAGTTTCAGATTTTGCCCTAATTGGCAATGAAATTATTAATAATGTGAATCCACTTCCAGAGCTGACATGCTTTGACAAAAATTGATTACTATCTTTAATGTTAATTAGCACCATTGTTAGTGCTATCAGCAAAGCATAGTGATCTGAGTGGTGTCATGAGCTGGAGCACCCATGGGTGCTTGGGGAAGGGCTGGCTGTTCCTCCTGCACTCGGTGTGCCCCATTAATTATCAGGTCAATACCGTCCAGATCTATTTAAATGCTCTACTTCTTGCATTAAAAAAAGTACTGAGCTAATCCTGAGGAACTATTTCCCATTTTTATTCTTCTGTCAGTTTTTAAGTAGTGTTTAGTGCCAAGAATGTTTCACACTAACCTTTTCCAACATATTCCAAATCACGGAGTCCCACATGAAACCAGTGTTTTCCTATTAAATAAATAGCAAACTTTTACTTACCATTTTTCATCTGGCCTGAATAGTTTTGTTTTTTTTTTTAAACTTGAAGAAAAATCTTTTGTTCTGCTGATGTGGAATTTCTTAATGAAGCTCTGAGGGCATGGTGTGACATGCAAATGCGGCTTTTAAGGTACTGGAGGGGCAATGTTAGGAACTGCTGAATGGCTGAAAATGCTTTGTGTTAATTCACTTTGCTGCAGGACTGGTTCTGGTAGTCAGAATTTTTCTCCTTTAGTTACTGTTTTACCCTTTAGTTTCATCATGCTGTGAAGAAACAGCACCATTTTTACTATAGGAAGAGCTCACCTAAGTGGAGGTGGAAGCCAAAGCACAAAATAAAGTGTAAACCAAGCAATTTTGGAGCTCAAGTTGTGTAAAAGGTATTCTTGGCGATGAGAGGCACAGCTGGCATTTTTTTCAGACTGGTTCATTCAAGTCCTTGTGTCTTTCAAGAGCTTTGTCAGAGTCTTTGTGTTCTCTTCTTGGTCCTCAAGATAAAGATGGAGATGTCGGTCTGCATCTATTCACATGCTTCTCTCTGGAAGAATTTTTGGATGTTACCTGCCTATGTGTATTCCTTGTGGCCTCATTCTTTGATTTGCTCCTCTCAGGAAGAACCACAATTAGGCCTCTACTTGTATTTCTTCTCTGCAATGCTCATGATGGTGCTCCTCCATTAAATGATTTTCTATATTGCCACTTCTTCATCATTCAAAATTCAGGATTTGGAAGACCTTGCTTCTGGAACCAAACCAAGGTTCAAGGTCCTGAAATTGACTCACCATCATGGCAATGGTTATGAGTCACGTTTGCCAGTTATGAACTGTCCTTTAGGAAGTTAATTCTCCTGGAGGATCTAATAAAGTTGATGGATTTACTGAGAAATTAAGTCAATCTTCTTGAGATGCTAATAGCCAAGGAAGCTTCTGTGGACTGCATTTTTGTGATAACCTGGTTTTATACAATGGTGTTTTATGCTGACTCTCGTGGAGGGGGGTACAATTTGTGTTGCTCTTTGGACAGGCAGAAGCGAAATGGGGAAGACTTGGAAATTGCTCCTAATGCACCTTGTGGTTTGCAATGAATTTTTCAAGCCTGCTTTTTCAGTCTGCAGTATTACCTGATTTTAAATAAGCTTCAGACCAGCGTCCTTGCTTAGCAGTACATATCCAAGCTAAGCTCTAGGTCCCTCTGTCTTCACTGATTTACAGTGAAGCTCCAGTGGCTTAAGTGGATTTATAGTTCACCAAAACCCCAAACCTGCAAACATTTATATACCTTCTCAGTTTAACACAGTTGAATAATCCCATGACGCCTGGTGTTAAGAGTTCCTCATAACAATGAATATAAATTGCGCCCCTATAAAGAAGGCCGTAGCTGACACAGTATGCAGGCAGCTGCATTCTCCCTAGAGAAGAGAGATTTGCTTGTTTTCTCAGATAAATCAATTGACTTTGCTGGAAGAGTACACTCAGCAATCACGTGCATAAAATTAAGCTTTTGCACATTTTTCTACATAGGGCCTTATTCTACTCTGAGATGAAAATTGAACCTTGAAGTTTTGATTTATTTTGTTTCCTAAATGTCTGACAGTAGGACTTTCTCATCCCATCATAACCCAGCAGGTAGGATCGCTGGACTGGTGTGTCTCCATTTCGCAAAGGAGAAGATCCCAGTAATCCTCTCTGGCGTTCTTGGCATTTTTATCCTTTAGACCTAAGCTTTTACCAGTTGACTTCAAGTAGCTAACAGAAGTCTTAGTGAAAGTCTAGGAGATGTCTTCAGGACATGATACAATCGCCTGTCCAGCCCATATAGGTTCAGATAGACCTAAACCTTCCTACCAGGTCTTTGTCTAATTGGATATTATAATGCAATGCTCTTCCTGAGCAGTCTATTCATGTGCTTCACTGTCCCGATTTGTAGAGATTTTCTTCATGCCTACCTTAAAGCTCCTTTGCTCTCATTTTAGCCATTAGTTGCTTTCCCATCCCTATTGAAAACCAAGAATAGTTTAGGAGATGTCACTTGGAGATAATGATTTAATTTTGAAAAGTTGCTGTCCTCTTTTCCCTAATATTCTTATCCCTAAACCAAAATAACCCACATCTCACTTTTTTTTCCCCGTAGTTCATGTTTTACAGACATGCTGCCTGTTCTTCTCAGCTTTTTAGAAATGCTAGCTGGGTAAGAAGACACGGTATCTCTAAGGGCGATTGTATGCATCTGAATATGTGAGGAGGAGCTGTATAATAAGATTTGAGTACAATTTCAAGTAACACTGACACAGATTGATGACCGTGATTTCTTTTTCATTGGGGTCACTGCATAAGAAAACGTACACTGAACACTAGTAATTGACATAAAATAAATGTATGTTTATTTTCCAGTGCTGTTAATAAGCATCATCCCACAATGTGTTTGTTAGAATTGAAAAGTACTTTAACAAATGAGCATAGGATGAATAGCTTCAGCCACTAAATTTCTGCTCATTTGCTGCATTGGCAGGAGAGTTCCACTGTGGGTTTGAGGACGGTAACATTTGCCTTTTCACTCAAGATGACACGGACAATTTCGACTGGACAAAACAAAGCACTGCCACTAGAGACACAAAATACACCCCAAACACTGGGCCAAATGCAGATCGGACTGGCTCCAAGGAAGGTAAGCCCCAGCGGTCCCTGGTCCCCCAGCACTGGGAGCTTTACTGCTCCGTCGGGGTGAGGGACATGTCCAGGACAGCCAATTCAGCCAGCTACATCATTTTTCTTGATCATACCAAGAATAAGCATATGTCAAGGACTTCTAAAAGAAATTGCCAGTGCTGAGGCATGCGGCTGGTCCCAAAGCACAACCCACTAACAGTGCCATTAACCATCTTATATTGTTTCTATTGTGCCATTTTCAAAACGATTGCTTTCACGTTATAGTCTAGTGGGGAAATATTCTGGCACATCTTGAAATATTATTCTGGTTTATGTCATTTAAATTCTAACTTGGACTCTCTCAGACTGTCACAAAGAGATTTTTTTTTGCCCCATTTTTACTTTGGGTGTTGCTGAAATGTGTAATTTTCAGTCTGCTACCCCGGTTAATGGAAACGTGCCATCTTGACTGCAGTGTGTATTTGCATTTGAAAAGTCAGGCATATTGTGTTGAATTTATCAAGTACTGCAGTAACTCGTGCAATTTTATTGTATGCCCCCTGCCTACGCTACCAAAGTGGAAAAAAAAATGATCCTGCATTGTATTTGTTTGGTGGGATTAAGTAAATACTATCTCTGTTGTTGGCACAGTCCAGGATCAGAATAAATTAATATTGTCTTCTGTTGTGAAAGTGAGCTTTTGAATATGTGATTGACACGGCCAGTTGAAAATGTTCCTTGAGAAGTTTCCATCGAGTCATTTTCCTTTTATTTTACAAGTCCTCCCTGCTCACTGTTTAAAGGAACAAATTGCAACCTTGAGAGTGAAGTCTGAACTCCGTCATAAAGATTTTTTTCCTTTTCTTGCGCATATGCAATGTTACATCAATTTGAAGTTGTTTATGAGTACGGACCTGCTAGACCTGCTTTTTCTCTTGGTAGAAAATGTGTCTTTGAAGCAGTTGTGGAAAACACATGGGCTTAATGCAGAAGAAATATGTCCCAGAAACCATGGTGATGTGAGATGAATGTGGAAAATGAATCAAGATGCTTGATAGTCCTGGTGTCTTCCTGCATGTGTATGTGTTGGATTTTGAAGACTGCAACCTAACGATTTCCATTTGGACTTCCCCTAGGTTTCTACATGTACATTGAGACATCTCGCCCCAGGCTGGAAGGAGAAAAGGCCAGACTTGTTAGTCCTGTTTTCAGTGTCGCTCCAAAAAATCCTTACGGAGCTACGAACACTGCCTATTGTTTTAGCTTCTACTATCACATGTATGGACAGCACATAGGTGAGAGAAAGCCAATGACCTTATCTTTTCACTTTGGGAGAAATAGCAGGAGAAATGTCACTCGTATGAAAGAAAAGCATGGGAAGACTGCCAATGCCTGCAAGGGGCCATTGCAACCAAAGCTAGCAAGAGAGGTGCCTGACGGTGTCCTGATTGCTGTAAAACTGTGTTTTCCACTAATCAGCGCGCTAACAGGAGCCTCTCTTACAGCTGGGAAGTATTTGGTGTATGTGTGAGGTTTTCAGCATGGGAACTTTAGGGCGTGAAAACAGAAGAGGTAATGTTTGCAAGGACTTTGCCTGATACTAGCGCAGTGTTTTGAGTCGCTCCTGGCTAGATTCAAGATCAAGCAGTTGGCAGGAGCACTCCTCACGTGCTGGCAGCTGGAGCGGCGCAGCCCGTGCGCGATGCGGCAGCACACGGTTCCTTTGTAAAAGTCGTGAACAATTCGCTCATAAGCTGTGGGAGTATATATTTTCAAGGTGCATCTGTAAGTCTGTTTTTAGTCATAGCTCTTTCAGCACACACACTTGATTTCTTTCTGTAGTGTGAAAAAAAGGTGTGGGAAAACATAAAAGTATAAACGATAGAGAGCCAATCTTTATAAATCCTGTAAATCCCTCTGGGGTGCTCGGTGCTCACCGGTGTGTCAAGAGGCTTTCCAGTGCCAAGCTGACCTGACTTGTTGTATTTTTATATATATTTCAAGGGCAAGCACATCCTCACAGTGCATTCTGGTGGTTGCTTCGGAAAACCTTCGCCTGCCCCCAGGCAGAGTTCAGATTTTAAATACAGCAGACAAGTTCACTTAGGTTTTTTGTTAGTTGTTTCTGCACTGCAAGCACATGAACGCAGCTCCAGATCTAAATTCTCCTGGCTCTATGTTGCAGCAGGAGCTTGGCTGTTTATTAGAAGGAAACGATTGAGCCATGCCATGCTTAGTGAAAAAATATAAACTGCCCTATATGGTCATATACCAGACTATTTCTGGTATATGACAGTGAAGAGCAAAGTTACAAACATAAAGGGTCAAAGAATTTTTCTGGAATGCCTTAGAGTTGGGATAAAGTCTAAGAAAAACAGCCACTGAGGCTGACATCTGTCCACAAAACAGTGACCTCTCATTGGTGCAATTTTGTTTTGTTTTGTTTTTTTTTTTTCCTGGACTACCTTTTCAACAAGGGTCTGTGTCCTCAGCTTTTTTGCTAAGATCACCCTTTCCTGTGTATGTGTAATTTCTTGACTTGACCTGTATAATGCTGGCTGATGAAGGAGCTGGCCCACAGGTGAAGATGGTGACAATGATGGTTAGTGGTCATTGCTACATAGGATTTGTTCATGGCAATGTGGACACCTAGCTGTCGACAACCAAAATTGCTTGATATCACTTTTGTTCTTTAATGTTAAAAAAATATAATTACCATAATTTTAGCTAATGTTCAACATTATCTACTTTTAAATCGCTTTGTGAAAAATTATGTATTATTCTGTCTTTAACAGAGGAGAGTAAATTCATAGCATCAGCCATGTGTTCGAATGCATGCTCATACGTGTCTACTAAATTCAAAATTTTTATTCCTCATAATGACAAAATGTTATGAAACACATGAGCATGCAACATGCATACGAGAAATAAATTATGAAATCAGTAAACACATACCATTTCATTCCCCAGATGTGAACTCTGTCACTGAAATTGTTCACATGAGGATAATGAAGAGAAAAGAAAAACCTAATGAATGATAAAATTCTAAGACTTTAACAATTTAAGCACATGATTATTGTATGAACAGTCGTATTGATGACGTAACTGCTTTAAAGAGTTTTTAAAGGTTTGTGGTCTTAGAAATTACTTTGGGTTAGGACAGGGGTTATTATAACACAATGATTTGCCCAGAGGAATCAAACCTTATCATGACACAGTGTTTCAGATGATGTGTTCTTGTGGTAAGGAAGCCCACCAGCTTCCTGGGCTGCATTGGGCAGAGAGTGGCCAGCAGGTCAAGGGAAAGGACCCTGCCCCTCTGCTCAGCACTGGAGAAACACAGCTGGGGTGCTGGGTCCAGTGCTGGGCACCCCAGTACAGGAGAGACATGGACTTACTGGAGAGGGTGCAGCTCAGGACTATGAAGATGATGAAGAGACTGGAGCATCTCTGGTATGGAGAGAGGCTGAGAGAGCTGGGGGTGCTCGGCCTGGAGAGGAGAAGGCTCAGGGGGATCTGATCAATGCACATGAATACCTGAAGGGAGAGTGTAAAGATGGAGCTCAGAGATGCTCAGGGACAGGACAAGAGGCAATAAGCACAAATTGAAATAGAGGCAATTCTCTTTAAACATAAGGAAAAAAAAAAAAAGTTAGCCGTGAAGGTGGTCAAACACTGGCACAGGTTGCCCAGAGAGCTTGTGGAGTCTCTCTCCTTGGAGATATCCAAAATCCAATTGCGCACGGTCGTGGACAACCTGCTCTCATCTACCATGCTTTAAGCAGGGGTTTGGATAGGACTATCTCCAGGGTGCCTCCAACCTCAACAATTCTGTGGGAAATATTTAATTGATAATATTTTTTTTCAGAAGAATTACATTTTATTAAGGATTAATCCCCCGTGGAAAATTCTAAATCTTATTGCTGAAAGAGATTGACTGTTTTATCACAAGCTGTTAGAAGCCTTGACCCTTCACTGCTGTTCTGGAATTTGCAGCTGACATATCGAAGGTGCTTCTTATCCCCTTTTGGGAATGAGCTATCGGCTGTGATAAGCACTGCCAGCGCATTGATGTCTTCACAAGAGCAGGATAGGAGCTGCTAACTGAGACGTCGTATATGAGCTCTGTGCTGTAGGATCTCTCTTTTGAATAACCATGAGCTGCTGATTCTTGCCTTGACTTAATTGAAAACTGGAAGTGACTTTCAGGGGAATTTGGCTTAAATAAGTTCCAGCCTTTTCCTTCCTCGGACCTGGAAACAGTGTGTTTGGAGAAGGTGCATGGCCATTAACCTTTGATTTTTCACCCAAAGTGCTGCAGCATTGTTCAGCCCCCCCCCGTCCATTTCTCCTGGATTGCTTTATTCTCCCTAGTTATCAGTGTCCATAAAATTTCCAAGCAGTATTAAGGTTATTACTCCCATGTCTCAGGGGCAAAGTACTTTGTTTCCAAAACAGTTGCGGTGCTGATCAAATTGTTTCTGCATTTCTGACAAGGTTTTGAAGAATCTCTAATAAAACAGAACGTCATCCTGAAATGATGCTCTGTTGCTGGTGTGGACTGGTCTTGGAGGCTTAAGGGAAAAGATACTCATCCTTCATTCTTAAAAATGAGTGACACCAGTGACATCAATTTGAAAATATGCCTGTTGCACTATATTGGAAAAAAAAAAAACAAACTACCAGTTTATCCAGGTCAGCTTCTGTGCCTGCTGTTCAGGTCTTCGGTGTCCCTGGAGAAGAGGCTGAAAATTTCTGTAGCAATAAGAAGAGGTACTTGGGAGTCTTTGCAGAGAGCAGAGCACAGATCTGAGATTAGCACTTACGCTGCAGCACAGCTCTGACAAAATAAACAAGGACCTATGTCCCACGCCATGGCACTGAGATTCAGGAAGATAAAGTGTTTCGTTACCTGAAACAGATGGCTCTTACTTACAAGTCAGATGATTGTAATTCCTGACAGATCACACAGAGCTAACTTGGAGAATACTGACTGCCAGAGAAACGGCATGCACTTTGCTCCACACCCTTCAAAAGGAGAAGGTAGATTATCCCTAAAGCATAAGAGAAGTAGAAGTTCCCATTGCTTGATTTGCAGCAAACAATAAGCCATTGTTGGGGAAGAAGAAAATGAAGAATCGCTGTCCTTATTGTGTCTCTACGTTGAGACAGAAAGAGGCTGTAGTTCCATTATAGGTGTCGACATCTTTTAAAACAATCTATATTTCCCATTCTTCCATCTACACCCTCAAATGGCACTCCAAGAACAATAATTTTTCTTGTCATTAGAGAGCCATCACAAAACAAAAAGTGGAAGCAGAACATGCTCTCAGAGCATACTGTGAAAGCTGTTTGTGTTCGCACAGTGACGAGCTCTCAAAATGCCACCCCGGTGCTGCAGCTGGCGATGTCTCCGGAGCACCCTGCACTCTCTTGGCAGGACGCTGTCAGAGAGTAAACTTTATTCCTTAATTCACAGTTGTTACTCCTGCACACTGTTTTTGTCTCCTACCCAAGAGTCACTTCATTACCCATTTGCCTAGAGTTTGGAAGAGTTTGAAATCTTTAGATGCATCCTTGCTGGCCACACGTCAGTGTGAGCTCTGTAGCCAACCTATCCTCCCCCACAGCATCTGCTTTGCAAAGGCTGTGTAACTTTTCCAAAACCTTACTGGCAGAATTTGAAGGATAAGGATCAGTTGGAGGTGTCATTCGTTAAGTTTTCAGTGATGTTTTGGGCAGGTGTGTGTGCATATCTAGCAATGAGGGTCAGGCAGGTACATCCATACTAACCAACACGCTGGACAACGACTGAGCGTATCTGGTACAGTAATGGCTATTTTATATTTTAAGTAAGACTGCTATCGTTCTGCTGTGAATTTGAAGAAATCATGTGACACAGAGAGGCTGAGTATGCTATGAACAATCTTAAATCTCTGTAACCTCAGCAGTGATGGAATTACATGCTTTTCATACCTAAATTATTCAGTTATTCCAAAGAGCCCTGCAACATGGGCTGTATCAGCCTGCACAAAGAGGTGAAACAATTAGCCAGCAATTCATCCCTTGCTTCATAGGGCCATTGCTTTTTGTCTTTTAGAAAAATAACATTATGTATAACTCTATTTTATAACTTTAGGTAGTCTTGTCTAAGACCCTGCCTTTTTTCAGACCGTAGACCCAGCACAGTTGTTGAAAAAAGTCTTGGAGGGAAGCAGATGGGAAGGAAGGGAGAGCTGTTGTATCTGAACAGTACAAACCTTGCCCAAGAGCTGTCGTTGCCGTTTGGAAGAGGGCTGAGGCTGAGCAGCCGCTGGCTGTGAGCAGCCCTGCGACACATTACGGAGCTGGGCTGCAGGACTGCTGCAGGGAACCCTCCTGAGCATTTCCCTTCTTGCAAGCCCTTGCTGTTTCAGGTCTTTTTGTTTTACCCAGTAGTGTGTGTGTAGGCAGAGACAGAATGTCCTCGTCAGAAGCTGTGTTTCCTTTGTGCTGCTTCTGCACCCTCCCCTGCATTTGAAAAATAAAATTCTGCAGTGGGAGGCAGGTGGGAGACACGGTGCCGCCCAGTCGCTCCAGCGAGCATCGCTTCCCCCACCTCCTTCAAAGAAGATGTATGGCCTCATTCTGGGCACCCTGGTGAAATAGCCGTGATGAGAATATTTGCTGCTCCATTACACGTGTAGCCTTATGTTTTTCAAGACGCTGAGTTTTGCTGTTGCTAGAAATAAGAACTTTTTATTAGCAGGGCTGAGTCACTGTGCAGCTGCCTCCGATCTGAGAGGTTTCATTACAAATATAATTTGTATGAGCTTCCCAGCTGCCATGCCTAACACCCGAAAAAAACAGTGGTCTTGTGTGAACTTGACTGTGAACTTTCTTGAATGAAGGCTAATGCGGTGACTTACATAGTACAAAGAGACATCACGGGCCCACGTATCTGCAGATGACAGTGGTGGGCAAGAAGGAACAAAATCTCCAAACTATGTGAATTACTGAACCCTGATAAATGAAGTCGATGCATTTGCTGTCTCTTGGTGCACCAAGTCAGTCTGGTTTCTGCTCGTGGTCTGAGACAGTGAGGTTAACCAGAGAGAAGGGCTGCTGAATGCAGGCGATCTGTTACCTGTTGCGAGTAGTGTCTGTGCTGGAACCAGTAACTTAACGGGCAGCAGCAGGGAAAGACCCAGGTCTGTGGGGTTTTCCTCCACAGTGAGGGACTTTAATGAGGTTATTTTAACTCAGGATTATGTTGTTCTTCAAAAATACTCCTTAGCAGCAGTAAGGGCATCACGTCTATCTCTGAGATAGACTTGCCAGGCTCTACGGCACTCCATTGGTTAAATGATGTACAGAGTAAACAAAAAGGTGAACAGTCTTTATAAGCAGGAGCTAAGCATAAAGCAACCAAGTTGCTTATTTATCCTTGGGTAAGGAGGTTATAAATGCCTCATTTACACTAAAGCACAGAAAACCCTTTTTGCCTGTCTCACCCTGGGAAGCCTCGTGTCCTTCCTGAGCCGCAGGGAGCAACGGGGGAGCGCACTCCCCGCGCACTCAGTTCCCCTCTGCTGTGAATTCACATCACCAGTTCACAGTGTTCAGAAGTTCAATAGTTTTTGAATTTATGACAAGAAACTCTCCACAGCCACTCAGACCTAGCGGAGGCCCATGTAAAATGGGGAGGGGGATGAGCAGGGGACTGCTGCCATACCCAGCCCAGCGTCTCTGCTCCATCAGAGAGCCTAACCAATTCCAGTTCTCCACCTCTCTTCTAGGAAGCTTGAACGTTTACCTGCGGTTGAAAGGTCAGACTGCGATAGAGAACCCATTGTGGTCTTCAAGTGGAAATAAGGGACAGCACTGGAACCAAGCCCGCGTTAATATAAACCCCCCAACTTCATTTCAGGTAATGGCTTGTGCATCGCACAGCAGGAACGGGAGTATTCGGTTTTTGGAGGGAGGGGGCCTGTGTACGCTGACCCTTTCCTTCTGACACAGGATTTCACAACATCATTTCAGCTCTGAAAGCTGCTTTATGGACAGATAATTGCTTTCCTTGCTTTAAATAGGTGAGCACCGTAGAGCTTAATAAAGCACACTTCAGTGGCAGAACAGCAGCTATTTGCTTGAAGGCAAAATGTCTTTCAGTTTTCAGAAGATGCTGGTAGCCAATGTAAAACGTTTTTTTTTATTTCAGATTAGCAACTGGAATACAAAATTCCTTCTTGTGAAAAAATATTTAGGGTCCATGATACAGTGCCTGTGTTAGAGGTCTCTTGAAATGCATACATTTTCTGCAGAAAAAGGAATGATCTGTGAGTCTTTGCTGAAAGGTACCAAAGCAGCCTTGCTGCCTGCGCAGAGCTCTGGTACAGCAGAGCTGCACCCCTCGTTCACTAGGCGCATGCAAGTTATGACAGGTTTTCACACATTTCATTTTTGGTTTGACAGTGAGATGCTGATAGACTATTACGGGCAGTTCTCATTCACGCTGTGAGCTGTTTGTAACTGGAACAGACCCAAAAAGGCAGCTGCCGCGAGCAAGCCCTTGTGTGTTTGAGGCTGAGGGTATCATCGTGGATGACGGGAGTCACAAGCTGTGCCCTGCGGTTCAATGTTCTCCCGGCTCCTCTGTCCCCTGTCTGTAACCTCCAGGTCCCCTGGGGGAGATAAAAAAAGAGTCGTTTGGTGCAAGTCAAAATTGCCACCTTAGACATGCAGATTGGGATTCACTTTATGGGTAATTACTGATCCTGACCCGTTGTTTTTATTTCCATGCATCAGAGGCAATGATGGAAGAGAAATGATTTGGGAAACATGATCGCAGAAGCATTGCATGGGGAGAAATCAGAGGAAAATTGAATGAGAGGGATATGTGAACTATAGCATTACATGATGTTTGAGTGGGACAAAGTGGCAGAACTGGGGAGGAAGAGTGCACAGAAGAGGGATACGAGTGTTAAAATACACTCGGTGCACGGGACCAAGTACAAGGGAGCTGATCAGAGTGGGTGAGTTTTGCATTGGTGAAGTCAGGATAAATCCAAGAAGTCTGAACAGTGAAGGAGAGAAGAATGATTTAGTGTCGGAACATAATAAATGGACTGGTAAAGGAGGAGAAGAGATGGCTGGGGAAGCTGAAACCAAAGTGATCGCAGTTGTGTCCGAGAGGGATTCCTGAGGCCTGGGACGGGCTTTAGGAGAAGCAGGGGAAGGACGAGGACATCAGCTCCAGGCAGAGAGGTGCAAAGGATTTGGTGCCAGCAATGCAGAGGCGTGGAGGAGGGTGATGGGGTGCAAACCTGGGATCACGTCGTCAGCATGGAGAGGAAGGTGTGAGTTTGGGTGGAAGGGCAAGCTGGGGTGTCTGCCTTGCAGGGGGCCGTCCAGGGTGAGGCATTGGCAGAGGAGCCAGAGGCCACAGCCAGCAGGTCCCGGTACCCAGGCTGCTGCATCCACCGTGCAGTCGGAGCATCAGCCCTTGCACGGGGCCCTGTTGCTTTCAGAAAAGTTGCAGGGGTCACTCCTGCTACTGGTGCACCCACTCGCGTTGCTTTAAAACCGTATTCACTGGTGCCACTAGCTGGGGCACAACATGGAAGCTCCTCTACTTGGCTATTTTTCACCTTTTACATTGTTGTGTTTAAAGGGTTCAGCATAAAATGAATGTAAAGCCGTGAAGCTCTGCACAAATATAACAAATAAATGTCAGAGTGGTTGGAACCTTAAATTACTTTTTTAGCAGCTCTTGCATCAAGCAAACTTTATTTTCCATTTAGGAGTCTAAGTAGGAAAGAATATAAATCTCCTAGTTAAATTTAAGGAGGGTGAATTGAAGTGAATCTTTGCATTAAAACAGTACACTGACACAGAATTAAAACTTTTTATAGGTTAATTTATATGGGTAAAAGTGCAGCCTAGGTTTGTTTTATACCTTCCCAGTCCCTGTGATACATAGCAAAGCTTCTGTCATGAAGAACTGAGAGGACTACGGTGCTTTGAATCAGAAAAAGTATTGCATAAAAGCTATGTCAGTAAGATAGTCACTTATTACCTATGTTTAAAGAATAAACAACAAAAAAAGAGAGCGCGTGGAAGTGATACATTGCACGTTGGCATCTAGGAAGGTGCCAATTTTAGTTCCGATTTGAGTAGGAGCACTGCCATCACCTGCAGCTACACTTTCCTTGACACCTTCTTGTGTCAAAGGCATTTTTGGGAAAAGAGAGACTGATCTGCCCTTAAGTGAATGACCCTGCCGGACCGCTGAGATCTTCAGCCCCTTACAGCGATTGTAATGGGCTTACACCCTTGTCATCACGCTGCCCGCCTGGGGACATTCATGAGGCTCCTCTCTACTTCTTATTAGGATACTGGCCAGAAAGGTAAAATCTGTCTGAAATCCTATTGAAGAAGCACGAGCTGAATCCCCCGGAGACACTCGGGATAACTCTGGAGGCACTATAGGGGTTTATTTCCATTTCCCCTGTTAAGAGAGCAGAGTGGCCTTTGCTGTAGGCATAAGCCCCTCTATTCTTCAGCTAAATGCTGTATTTTTAACAAGAGCTTTGTAAAGTCACAGACATGCAGATAATAGGTTTTGGAGGATACTGATAAGGGATTCTGATCATCTGGCACCTCCTGCAAATAGCTGTGAACTGCAGGCTGGATTGTGCTCCGTGCCTTGCCAGCACTCATCTGCAGTGATTTGTTCTGAGCATGTGGCCAAGCTGGCTAATAGCAACCCGTCTCTGAGGCCCATAAAACACACTGCCAAATGCAGATTTTAATTAAATGCTGGCTGTTGTATTTGTATAGAGTCCTTTTGTCTGGAAGCAGTGTTTTTCATTATCAGGAAAGATTTGACTTTAAACTGCATTGACTGGTTATATGCCTGCTGCCAAGGAGCAGGAGGGCAAGCTGTACTTGGGGGAGAAGACAAGACACTTTCCTCTC